GGAACTTTTTCTTAGCTTTCTAAATTTTTAAAAAAATCAAACCAGTCATGTTGAAGTCATACCTTAAAATATCTCTTGATTATGATGTGGATGAGAAAACAGGTGAACAGAGAGGAAACACAGGACTATCTAGTACTGCAGGTGACTTGGATGTTACAGGTATATTCTGAGGGAGTTCAGAGCAGATGAATGTCAGTGAATGCAGGCATGCAGTGCAGGAAAACTTCATCCAGGTGGCATCCTAGGTAGCCAGGAGGAGTGGACTGGCCATCTTTTAAAGAAATATTTTATTATTTTTATTTTATGTGTATGAGTGTATTGCCTGTATGTATGTGAGTGCACCTGTGTCATGCATTGCCATGGAGGTCAGAAGAGGGCTTTGGATTACCTGGAACTGGAATTAAGGATGGTTCATAGGAGCCATGTGGATGATTGCCTGCATGTATGTGAGTGCACCCCTGTCATGCAGTGCTGCAGAAGTCAGAAGAGAGTGTTGGATTCCCCTGGAACTGGAATTAAGGACACTTCGTAGTTGCCTGTGGGTGCTGGGAATCAAACCCGGGTCCTCTGCAAGAGCAGTCGGTGCTTTTAACCTCTGAGCCATCTCTCCAGCCCCCTGGGCTAGCCATCTTTGATCTTCATTTCCCTCTTCCTGTGTTAGGAGACTTTTATAAAAGCATTTTAATCTCTTTCAATTAGATTCTTATTTTTAGAGATCTTCAGTTCATGTGTCAGGGCTGTGTGATTTTATTTAGTAATTTTAGTTAGATGACTCCACCTCCACAGTGTTTTTAGAGTAGTCTTTGTGGCTTAAGGTGTGAATTCAAATTCCAGTTCTTGCTGGCTTTGTGGCTTTATACAAGTTCCTTACCCTCTCCTATTTTCTAACAGTCCCAGGGGTGTGGGGGTGGGGAGCTTTTGTGAGGCTACAAGAAGATGAAGCGAGGGGAACAAAGAACAGTATCCCACCCTAGGAAAGTGCTAGTGCCTGCTGCGACTATCAATGCATTAACAAGAGAAGTGGAGGTGAAGTCAATATAAACTCATGGAAAGGGATGGCTGTGAAGGAGACCCTACTTGGTTTTCACCACTTTGTCACTGCTAATGTTACAAGAATGTCCACTCACCAAAAGTAAATTACATGTCCCCTGACTTTTTTATAATCATTGCCTCAGAAGCAAGGAAGATGGATTCAGGTAGTTAGGGAGGTTCTATTCTATTAACCTGTGAAGGCAGGACTGTGACTTACATAACTGAGCAGCCATCAGGCAACCTCCAATATGAGGGGCTTGGGACGTGGCTCTGTCAGAGTGCTTCTTACATGCATGAAGCTCTGGGTCCCATCCCCAGCAGAGCATAAACCAGGTGGTACATAGTGTAATACTAGGACTCTGGTTAGTGTATGCAGGATGATCAGAAGTCCAAGGTCATCTTCAGTTACATACTGAATTCAAGGCCAGCCTGGGATACATAGGATCCTATCCCCCAAAAAAAAAAAATTTTTTTTTTTTTTTTTTTTTTTTTTTTTTTTAAATAAAATCTACCCGATTTACTCTTGGAACTTACTATGTAGACCAGGCTGGCCTTAAACTCACAGAGATCTGCCTGCCTCTGCCTCCCAAGTGCTGGGATTAAAGGTGTGCGCCACCATACCTGGCCATTTTTTTTAATGTTTTAATTCAGTGGCAGCTGTCAATGAGCTCATGAAGAAATCCTTGCTAGAACCTTTTGGCTTTTATTGCATCTCATATTAATAACCAAAAGCCTCCCAAGCAAAAGGCCAATCTTATTTCCTCACTTAAAGCAGAATTATGGTACCAGGTTTCTATATTACCGAATGACCACGGATTTAGAGGTGTGTGCCTTAACCTAGCTTTGGATGTTAGACATTTAACAAGTTTGTTTTAGTCCTAATTGCTGGCATTTGCTTAACAGTTTTCTTAATTCTAATTTATGTTTTTATGTTCTAGTTTGTTTACATAGCCCATAGTTCCCAACTGCCTTTATTTGCTTAAGTGTTTCTTTAATTTTATTTACATTTTTATATATGTTGCTTTGCTTACATAACTCATTGTTTGGAGTGGGCTAGAAATAACCATAAATTCCCATTGCTAATTAGCCTCATCCTCATGACTGATTAGTGGAGATCATGAGCCTAGAAGGGGGGCAGGGAGGAGGCCTCAGCGACTCACAGAATCATTGGATTTCAAAGCTGGAAGGAATCTGAGCGCTTATAGCATCTTTCAGATAAAATTCTGTGGTTTTACATCTTCAGTACTGGGCAATTATGAAAGGCTTGCTCTGGCTCCTTCCTACAAAAATGTCTAAGGGTTTGGTGACAGTTTGAAACACAAGTTTAGAATAAAGACAAACTCTTATCAGTGGTGGCTGAAACTCCTAATGAGGGCTTGAAGGAGAATCAAAAACTTGACACATAAAGAGCAGGGAATATTAATGAACAGAGGAGGGCTCTTCAGAGGTAAGCGAGCAGAGTGGATTGTCTGGAATGCCATCCTCAGCAGCTGTGCTGTTGGTAAGGACTGTAGCTTGCCTAACAGTAGCCTGGCTATTAGCTTTGCAGGGGGGAGTATTTAAAAGTACACACAACATAGGAAGGAAAGAACCTGGAACTGAGTAGCCTGCTTCATTCCAAGATTCCATCTGGCATTTAATAAGAACTGCTTGTCCTACACTAAACCCTGCAGAGTAAGAGCCATTTTTCACATCCTTACACCCCATTTTGGTTTCAGGTAAGACAGCTTATTGGGCTTGAGGACGGAACATGGAGACTTCTCAGAACCATCTACCTAAAAAACTAATAATCTAGGGTGAGCTCCATGAACTTAAAACGGGGAAATCATGTTGAACCTCCAGCCTGGGGAATGAGCTTTCCAGGTACCTCAAGTCCTCACAGGAGGTGGAAGTCCGGATTCCAAAATCATCAGAGCCTTTAGGGGGTTGTAGGCAGAAATATAATGCATGAAGAGGTTATAGATACGCAAATCTGTAGCTGGAGTCAATTGGTGGCGATGGGGTAAACTGACCAGTGAAATCCAATCGGTTCATAGACAAACCTATCTTAGAGTCGGAAGAGTTCTGTTGTCATCTGCGGGCATCTAAAAGCAAATGCTGCCAAAGAATAGTCCCTGGATCCCCAGGGCTTGCAGAATGTGTAAAGTATTGTTAGCCTTGCAGTGAGTCCTGGACTTTGCTTTTCCTCCTTCCCACGTGCTTTCCTGTGACACTTCCATATGCTATCTTCCCGGGTAAAGTGCTTGGTCTGATCCACTAGGCTCAGACTTCAGGCTTAGGAGACGGCAGGCCCCGACTTAAACTCATCACTCCTCGAGGGGCAGCACAAGGCCCCCGCGCTGGCCGCAACTCCAAGCAGTGCCCTCTCTGTTACTATGGCGACCGCAGGAGGGGCGGGGCTTCCAGCCCCTCCTTCCCGGCCTCTACCCAGAACTTTCGAACGCTCCAATTGGAACAAACCTTTCTTGCCTCTGTCCCGCCCCGCTGGGCTCTGAGAGCGATGCAATTGGCCCGGGACTCGCATCCCCGGAGCCAAGAGGGTACCACCTCTTGACAGGAAGAGCGGGAAACTGTACCCCGCACTGTCGGAGGAGTGAAGCTCGCGTGCGTTGCGGGGGAGCATGCGGTTGGCTTTGGGGCTACTTTACCCAAGGTCCCTCCCCTCCCCCCGCATCCACGGCTGCTAATAGTGGGGAAAGACCGGGAGCCTCCGCGCAGCACTTTGTGGACCCAGGCGATCCCTCTGTGCAGCGAGGACGCGACGAGCGTGAGGGTCCCAGGCACGCTCACCAGCGCCGCAGATCAGAGGCCAGAGGGGGCGGGACCGAATCCCGGGGGCGGAGCCATCGGCGGCGGCGGGAGGCGCGAGGCCCAATCAGCACAGGCCCCGCCCTCGAGGGCGGGGCTCCCGGAGCGCTCCCCCGCCCCAGGCTCGC